TCGGGATAAGGTGGCTGTTTGCAACATCCATGATGATTTGCGCCCCAATCATGTTCTTGTCCGACTTGATGCCAACGTGGGCCGCCGTAAGCCCACTGCCCCATTTTCTCTCCTGCTGATCCCATCTCTGACAACCTACTTCCAGCTTTAACTCAAGCTGCTGTCACAGCCATAGATGGTGAAGTCAAACGAAGAAGGGAAACTGGTAGGGGAAAAACTACTAGTCTTTTGGTCTGCAAAGAACGTTTGGAACTCATGGAGTTTGATGAAGCAAGGCCTGCTCCAGACGACTTTGACCCAATCACTCCTGACTCAAGCTCTGATGATGAGATCTCAGACTATGAGTCACCTCCTGGCTATCCCTTCTAGAGATTCGATGGTGGTACTTAGGGGGAGTCACAAGTTGACTAGGGAAGTCTTGTAGTTCGTTTAAGTCTGTGTTTGAATGGTGTCAGTATTGAGTTGGTTTTCTTGTTGATTTGAATTTCGAAGCTTGTATTTCGGTTGAACTGATTAATCAGGAATAAGAACTTCCCTTGTCACTTTTGCCAGCACTTTGCATAGAACAGACTGCACCAATAGTTTGTTGAGTGTGTGCAGGAAAGAAACTAGTGCAGTAGGAAGAGCCATTGACAAGCTTAGGGGGAGCATGTTAAGGGAAGCTCGTCAATGAGGAAAGAATCAACAAATCAAATCAAGACCAAGATGGAAAGTTTCAAAGAAGGAAACCTGGAGCTAAATTACAACAATTCAAACCTCAATCAGACAACGACTACTTTGAGGAGAGCGAACTATATAACCATGAGTTTGAGCAATGAAGAGGGCAGAGTTTTTGGGGCAAATCAAAAGAACAGAGTGCTTAGTGAAAAGTGATAATCTTTTGATAGAAAACTTGGTTGGCTAATCGGAGAGAATAGCTAGTGGTTCTGAGTGAACAATCAGGGAGATTAGTTCTCAGCATAGGAGTTAGGTTGGTAGGCAGGGAGCTGTTCATCCTGAACTCCGGCATTGTACACACGATCAAGGAAACGATCTAGTAGATTCGTAGGAATCCTCAAGAGGAGAGATTCCTACCGTGGATTAGTCGATATTGGGATCCTTCTTCTCCCAATATCGGATACCACGTAAAAACTGTGGTGCTGTGTTTGTGTTCTTCATTTTTTAGCCTTGGTATATTCTCTGCTTGTGTGTTTGATCTCCTTGTTCAGGTACAGGGGAGACTTCGAAGCAGGGAGGTGAGCTCGATCAAAGCAGAGAAGCAATCAGCAGGCCTGAAAGTTTAGTCAGGGCCCAAGCCCAGTTTACGTGAGAACAAACGAGTGGGCTGCAAGCCCAAAGTTGTTCCAGATAATTATATTTCTATTTCTAGTTAATTGTTAGTTATTTCAATATTCATTTCTTGCAAAAAATCGAAACCCAAACCATAGAACTGAGTTCCTTCACTTGTTCAGCAACTGTGCCGATTAGGGTTTTGTAGGAACTAAATTTCCTCAGTTCAAGCGGAGAAGAAGGCGGTAGGTCTCGCGCTCGACCCACTCACAAAAAAATACCCTGCCGTAGGTGGTTTGTTTTGTAGTGAACATATTAAATATGTACAAATATAATACCACCATGGTATAATAAGATAAAGTGTATTTCATTAACATACACCCACATGGTATACTGTTTTACACCAATCACAACAACAAACTATTTCTGAAAAAACATAACTATACTATTATGACAAAATACCAGTAATTACCACCATGGTAAGATATGGTAAAATAAATTCCACACCATAACAGAATCACATCTCAGCATATACCAGTAATTACCACCATGGTAAGATATGACAAAATTAATTCCACACCACAACAGTATGACATCTCAACGTATACCAATAATTACAGCCATGATACAACAATTACCACCATGGTATGATATGGTAAAATGAATTTCACGCCAGAACAAAATCACATCACAGCATATACCAATGATGACAACCATGGTATAAAATCTCAACGTATACCAATAATTACAGCCATGATACAACAATTACCACCATGGTATGATATGGTAAAATGAATTCCACACCACAACAGAATCACATCTCAGCATATACCAATGATGACAACCATGGTACAAGTAATTACCATCATGGTATGATATGGTAAAAATTAATTACACAACACAATAGTATCACAACACTATGGTATCACCTCTCAGCGTATACCAGTAATTACCACCATGGTACCATATGGTATCTAACACCATTCAAATTTCAATTAACAAACAAATTTGTATATCTTACCTCCTGATACATCAAAGTTAGATGAATGACCAAATCCAACATCGTTAGATGAAGAACTAGTTCCAACAACGCTGGATGAAGAACCAGATCCTACAACGCTAGATAAAGAAACAGATTTATCAAATGGAACAACCTCGCCACAATTTTCGTAACTCATTTCACCAGAATCCTGCAAAAACACCAAACACACAAAGAACATGAACATAAACCAAACAGTAAAACTCATGAACAAGCTCGATTAGCTAAACAGAAACACAAAAAAACTCACATAGAAGAAGAATCTAGTACAAATAAACAAAATCTCAATGTAACTAGCAATTATCGCAACGAAAACCTACAACGAAACCAAAGATCGACAGAAAGCTCAATAAATCACGCCAGGTTAAAAGTTAACGAGAGAACAGGAAGAATCAGAAAAACTAATATCTGACCAGAGATAAGCTCGCCGTCGATTTAGGTAATCCACCTAAGTTCTCGCCGTCGAACAATTATGGAGAGAAAAATTCTCCATAGCTCGGCTCCTGTTTCTAAGCTGCTGCTCGTACTTTCTCTCTCCAAAAACATAATCCCAGCTCGCGCAAAAGACTCGCAACGGATAAAGAGGGAAAGTAATTAATTCAAATAAATGGACAAAAATGCCCTTGACCATCCCGCATCAATCGCAACCACACGATGAGTCCGCCCCATATCAATGGCTACTAATTGGTCACTGACGGGTGAGTAACAAACGGTTACTAACCCAATCCTAGGCCTAACGGAGAGTGACTAAATGTGACATGTTTCAGTAATTTGAGTGACAAAAATGATATTAATTTTTTCTAGTGACTAAACATGAAATGATTTAGTAATATCAGTGACAAATAGAGGTGGCAATTTTCAATCCAATCCACCAACCCATTAAAAATATCCACCTAATCCAATCCATTTGATCCAAATCCAATTGGATTGGTGGATTCATGGATTCAAATGACAAATTACGGTTTGGTACCTATACTTTTTATATTTTACATTTTGGTACCCAAAATTACATTTTTTATACCAAAAATATCATTGGAAAATTACATTTTGGTACCTAAAATTTTTCATTATACCAATTTAGTACCTAAACTTTTCACATTTTACATATTGGTCCTTGGTTGAGGATGTCATTTGGATTTAAGGATAATCCACCAATCCACTTGATCCAATCAATGAATCCACCAATCCATTTGGTCCATAGATTCATCAATCCAATCCACCAATTCATAGATCAATCCATTTGCCACTATCGGGTCGTTTGCTTCATGGATTTGAAAAATGAGGGTTTTGATAAAACCTGGGTTTTGGAAAACCATGGATATATGATAGATTTGGTGGCATTATGGATTTGAACAAGTCTATTGTTTGCTTGATGGATTTGATTATGGACTTTGTTTGATTAGATTTGTGGATTTTAAATACAAATTACCTTGTTATCCTTATTTAATTATATTTCTATATTATAATCTAAATATTTCATTTAAAACTAATCTAAAACATAGAAAGAAATTTTAAACTTGTGGATTAATAACTCAACTACAAATATAAGAAATGTATTACAATTTGGCACTAATTAACAATTCATCTCATAATGTACGCATTATTATGTATCAATTGCAACCAATTGCTTGCTTTATTGCTACAACTCATCATCTTCTTGCTAACTCACCGATGTGGAATCCGACAGTCAATCAAATAATAATGCACAAAATGAGCATAAAGTGTTTCTAGGTGAATCTAAATAAAATACGATATTACAAAACGAAATGATAAATTCACATATTTATAAAATACGAAATTATATAAGTTTATAGTTGCATGACCATTGAATTAAAGTAGGACACATTTGTAATTAAAGAAATAATTAAGGGTAGAAAGGTAATTTACCATCATGGATTTTAATCCATCACCCAAATCCCACCTCAAGAGGTGGAACTTCCAAGTCCGTGGGGTCCACGGATTTGGAACCCCAAAAGAGGTGGGGCCCACAAATTCCATCTTCCTAATTCCCTAACGCAAACGATGGATTTCGGTTCAAGTCCATGATGGATCTATTTCCATGACCAAATCCGTCACCAAAACCCTCAAGCAAACGAGCCCTATGTGGCATTTGAAAAAGTTAGCTTTCCATTTTTGGTCTACGGGCGGATTTACTGCTTATTCAAGGTTGTCAACCCGCGGGTTGACCCACGGGTCGACCCAATTTGACCCTGACCCGATGAGAAAAACGGGCCGCAAGCACCCGCCGGGCCGACCGCTATAAGATACCGGGTTGGAGGTCAAATTGTGTCATTTTTTCTTTAGTTTGCGAAATGCGCCTATTTTCCAATTTTTCTTTTCGCCTAACTCAATTTTTGGAATACTAAGTTGAACATTTGAATATTTATGTTATATAAGTGTGTGTGAATTTTCACTATATGTTGGATCTAAGTACGATATGTTATTTTGGTGTAATATTATATGTTATAACTCATATGTTAGATAAGATTTGATATAATTTATGAGGATAAGTATAATATAATGACTCTTTCTATATTTCCGGGCCAAACCGGGCTAAAACGGTTGACCCTTTAACCCTTGACCCACTAGCTCGACCGGGTCCGGGTCAACCCGCGGGTTGACAACCTTGGTGCTTAAGCTCTCTCTCGTAAAGCCGTCCCTGAGATCTACTTGTACGCCACTATAATAGATTAGAGTTTAGTGAGATCATTGGAAGTTGAAACCCGAGGAGAGAGAGGGGAGAGAGAGGGAATGAGCGAGAGAAGAGGGGGATGGAGTCGAGCTTGCAGAGACTAAGGTAAAACGAAACGGCCCATCACCTTCTAATTTCTCAAACGCTACTCGTTCAAGTTTGTCTACCATTTCTCCTCCACTGTTATGGTACAGATTGTTTTTTCATTTTGCTCTAGTTTTCACTGGTGGGTCATTGGTTTTATTCGAGAAAGTTTGGCAATTTGACCTTTGGGAACTACCACAAAATCACAAATGGAAAGGCTCTTCTCTTTCTACTTTCTTTCTTGTGATGGATTGCTTCTGATGAATGAAAAATCCCAGCTATGGCTCTCTTGTCTGATTCCTCGTGGTTTATGGGTAGGGTTTATGCCTCTGGTAGTTGTTTTCTTTTGGTCAATTTTGTGTCGCCTCAATCTGCTTTGTTGGTTCTTAAAGGTGAGATCTGAGATGGTTTTAACATTCTGGCTGGTGTGTTTTGTTGGTAATAGGGCTTCTTTCTTTTGGGTAGCTGTTGGATTTTACGGCTGTTGGGTTTGGGAATGGGGTTTTTTTTTTCTCAATCTTTTCGTGATTTGTTGAAGTTGATGAAAGTCACATTTCAAAAGGAGCTGATTGTTTTGTGAGTGTTGGAGGGATTTTCTTTTGAGTAATTTGGTTTTTTGTAAATCCATGTGAACAGAACTTGTTAGTAGAATGCCGTGATCTTGTGTTTGTATATGGTGGTCTTTCAACTAGTTCTTCTTTGCTCCGGTGACTCTTGCATTGTCCATTTGCTGTGACTAGTTTAAATTCAAATCTCAATTCTACTGTCTGCCATCGCTGATTCCCTAATCAGATCGGCTACTGGCTGTCTTTGAGGTCTGCAATATTATGATTCACATCCTTTAATATTTTGGTGCTTTGATTTTCTGGAAACGCCTTCTTTGCCTGTTATGTGTCCATTACTTATTTCTTTCTTCCTTTCTTCATTTCTTCTCAGCGCATGAGGAATAGATGTTAAAGGGTCTGTAAGCTTCCTCCTTGTCAGTGCCAGAATTTCTCTCAAGTTGGATTGAAACTTTTTGTCATGATCAGGAGATGAACAGAATATTTCATTCGACATCTTGCTTGACATGTGGCAGTATTCAAGTTAATCTGATTAAAACCTTTCGGCTTGTGTCGGACGATCACAGCTAGTGAAAAGAGTTGCTTGATGACACCATGCTGCAAATTTCATGTGGGGCAATCTCATCACGGTTATTTTTGGCCTAGTTCAGCTGCAAAAGTGCTATTGCCTCCTGTAGATTTGTGTATATCAAGTATTTGAAGGCAGTGAAGTAGCTTGGGGTGAACCCGTATAATTTGTGTTCACCTGGTTAAGTCTAGAAGATTGCTTTTTGAATGATTAGATCGCAAGGTGGAGCGTTTACTTTGATTTGCTAAGTGTGATACCACAGCTGTGAGCTGCATTAGTTGCAGAGCTCTTTGTTATAATGGAAACACAGTCAGGGAATGCTATCCACCTACCGGCTGTTCTTCGGCGGTTACTTCCTGCTGTTGGACCTGTCCTTTTGATTTCAGTAGCATATGTTGACCCTGGGAAGTGGGCAGCCACTGTGGAAGGTGGTGCCCGTTTTGGAGTTGATCTAGTCCTGCCAATGCTCATCTTTAATTTGGCTGCAATATTGTGCCAGTATCTATCAGCTAAAGTGGGAATCATTACTGCTAGAGATCTTGCCCAGGTACAGTTTCTATTTGTAGTGTCTCTTCCTAGTTTGTATTTTTATTAATTTCAGTCATTGATGTTCTTGTTCCAACTTCCAAGTGATTTTTCTGATGTGTCTTCTTCCTGTAAATTTATTGAACCCGGGTAGTAAGGGATATATGGTATTGATATATTTACATATTCATGTCCTCTGAACATTAATATTTCCTTGTTATCTGAATGATTAGCTCTCTCTTCCATTCGATAATTTCTAATACTATCACTTACTGAAGTCCAGCCTTCTGTTTTTCATTTTCTAATGCTGTAGATTTGCAGTGAGGAGTATGACAAATTCACTTGCACGTTACTAGGAGTTCAAACAGCAATTTCAGTGGCGGCGTTGGACCTCAGCATGGTAGCCTTTCTTATTTTTGGTTAAAATGCGTGTCTTGGTGCTTCTTCTGAAGATATGTTATGACAACAACAATGCTGAATCTTTCGAGTTGAACTTGTTGAGCTTTTTTCTGATGAATGGATATATATATTATCTTTTTCCAGATACTTGGCATCGCACATGGGCTTAATCTTCTTCTTGGGGTGGACTTGCCCACTTGTATCTTTTTAACTGCTGTTGATGCTGTGTTGTTTCCGTTTTTTGCCGCCTTTCTGGTGAGTCATTGCACAATATTACCCTGTCATCTTCTGTAGGATATGTATCTCACTAAGTTCGCTACTTTATACTTGTAGGAGAAATATAAGGGCTATTTCCCATCCATATGCGTGGCAGGCTTTGTGTTGATCTTCTATTGTCTCGGGGTGCTCATTAGTCAATCGGAGGTTCCTCTCTCAATGAGTGCGATGCCGATGAAGTTAAGGGAGGAAAGTGCATTTGCTCTGATGAGTCTTCTTGGAGCAAGCATTATGCCTCACAACTTCTATATGCATTCTTCTATTATTCTGGTACGTCTCTCTCCTTCTTTTATCCTTTTTGTGTATGAGTGATGTAATACTAAAATGATGTGGGGCTGAATGAGGCACATCTTCCCAAGAATGGTACCTGTGTTGTTTGCTATTATATGTCTGATGTTGTGGTCAATGTCTCATAAAATCTTGATCGTAAATGTCATGTGATCATCTGTGCCGACTCGGGATTTTTTTTTAATATTATACATGGTAGATTAATTCTGAAATCTAGATTTCCAACTTCTTGCAGCATCATCAGAGACTGCCAAATGTTTCCAAAAGTGCCTCATGCTATGATAATTTTTGTGCAATCTTATGCATCTTCAGTGGCATTTATCTGGTGAACTATGTGCTTATGAACTCAGCTGCGAACGTGTTCCACGAAACAGGCCTTGTTTTGGTTACTTTTCCGGATGCAATGTCCCTCATGGAACAGGTAGAGAGCTCTTACGTCATGTATTATAATTATCCTGAATCCCGATGACGATACTTTCATTGATCCACTAGTCCTATACTTCTGCATAAAGTCGATATACAATATGACATATTCTTGAAATGTACCGTGTAGGTATTTCGTAGTCCAGTGGCACCTCTGTTCTTTGTGTTGATTTTGTACCTTTCAAATCAAATCTCTGCATTAACTTGGAACATCGGTGGGCAAGTAGTTCTGAACGATTTCCTCAGCCTCGATATACCTAACTGGTTGCAGCGAGCTACTACCAGAATTGTTGCCATTGTCCCAGCCCTTTACTGTGTGTGGACTTCTGGAGTTGAGGGGGCATACCAATTGCTTATATTTTCTCAGGTTATAGTAGCCTTGCTGCTACCAGCTTCCGTTATTCCACTATTCCGAATTGCATCATCAACTTCAATAATGGGGGCACACAAGATCTCTCAATTTCTCGAGCTCTTGGCAGTTGTTGCATTCATGGGAATGCTAGGATTGAAGATAATTTTTGTGGTGGAAATGATTTTCGGGGATAGTGACTGGATTGGCAACTTGAGATGGAACATGGGTAGCAGTTCTTCTCTCCCCTATGTTGTTCTTCTCGCAACTGCTTTTTCATCATTCTGTTTGATGCTTTGGCTAGCAGCAACACCTTTGAAATCTGCAACAACCCAGTTAGAGGCGGCTCAAGCATTGAACTGGAATGCAAAGCAGACTGTGCAGGAGCCATCCATCCGTATTAGAGATGAAAAGTATCTGGATGGTATTAGGTATGGAGAAGGCCGATTTCATAAGCAGGAAGCCGCTGCACCAACCCCAGTGAAGTCGTTAGTGGGCTACTCAGATAGAAGTGTCTTACATCCTGATTCCCATTTACCTGAAACTATTCTGGAGTCTCATGAGGACTTTCATTTGACACCTATTGAAGAGAATCAGCCGGATATGAAGTTTCCTAGTCCTCTCAAACTGAATCAGGGATCAGTACCTTCAACAGAACCAACATCAGTATCCAAAGCAGTGGGGAATGTAGTTGTTGCTGCTGATCTTGATTATTTACCGGACTCGAAGATGATAGTTTTTGAATCACTTGAACCTGTTGAGAAGACTGTGAGTGTTGAAGGTGATTTCCTGGTAGAAAAAGAGGATGATGAGGGGGATGCCTGGGGGGAGCCTGAAGAGTCATCATCCATAGGTGTTTCTGGGAGTTTCTCATCTTTGACCTCTGATGGTCCAGCATCTTTCAGAAGTCTCAGTGGAAAATCCGATGACGGTGGGAATGGTGCTGGAAGTCTTTCGAGGCTGGCAGGGTTAGGCAGGGCTGCTAGGCGTCAATTAGCTACAGTTCTTGATGAATTCTGGGGGCAGTTGTATGATTTCCATGGTCAAGCAACTAACGATGCCAAGAATAGAAGGATCCATCTGCTACTTGCTGCTGATTCTTCAAAGCTTTCATCATTTTCCTTCCTGAAAGTTGACCCTCCCCTTGGAAAAGAATACAGTACTGGGTATAATTCATCAGCAATGGCCAGTGGTAGAGCATCATCAGATTCTTTCATGAATTCAAGTTTCTGCGATTCTCACAGGCAGCAGCAGCTGATGATGCAACAGAGCACTCTTGAATCTTCTTCATACAGTGGTGGGGCTCCAAGAATATCTTCTTCATCATTATGGCCCAACCGCACGCAGCTGCTGGATTCATATGTACCAACAACACCCACCTCGAGTGTTGTGGATCCTTCTGAAAGACGATATTCTAGCATGCAGTCCCTACCACCATCTTCTGATGGTTGGGACAACCAGCCAGCTACAATACATGGTTATCAGATTGCTTCGATTGCAAACCGTATTGCCAAGGAGAGGAGTGCTAATGGCCTAAATGGTCGGACAGAAGCACTGTCCCAAATTTCCTCTATGAGCGGCATCCGGAACTACAGGGACCCACATGCAGCTATTGCCTTAGGTCAGAGATTACAGAATGGATTAAGCTCTTCACAACAGGCAACAGCAGGATATCAGAACCTTGCCCCATCCAGAAACAACTCGTTACAGTCTGAAAGACAATACTATGATGTTGTTGGTTCTCCCGTTTCTGTTGTTGATAAAGCAGGACCAACGACCACCAGTACAAAGAAGTATCACAGTTTGCCTGACATTTCAGGAATTGTTGCTCCTTACAGGGAGCTATATCTAGCTGGGAAAGGTAATACCCAGCAGGACAAGACTTCTGTCGGTGATTTTGGCTCCTCCTTAGGTGGGAGAACAAGTTACAACCCTTCTTTTTATGGAGATGCTTTCTCCTTTCCTTCTACTTCCCCAGCTACAGGAGGATCTCTTTGGTCAAAACAGCCATTTGAGCAGTTTGGTGTTGGGGATAAAAGCCGTGCAGTAGCTGGCAGTAGTGCTTTAGGAGGAGGAACCAGCAGGCCGAACTCAAATACCCATCTGGAAGCTAGTAGTTCCATAGTGGATGCAGAAGCTCAACTTCTTCGGTCCTTCAGATGCTGCATTGTAAAGCTGCTGAAATTGGAAGGCTCTGATTGGTTGTTTAGGCAAAATGATGGCGCCGACGAGGACTTGATTGACCGTGTGGCAGCACGTGAGAGGTGTATATATGAAGCTGAAGCGAGAGAGATGGAGCAGCATGGGGGGATCCACCACTTGGGCATTGAGTCTCAATGCAGTAGTGATAAGAAGCAGCAAGGTGGTCGTTCTGGGCAGAAGAATGAAGATGCCACTAGCATTGCCAATATCTTGGTTTCCTCGGTTCCTCACTGTGGAGAAGGCTGCGTTTGGAAGGTTGACCTGATCGTGAGCTTTGGAGTTTGGTGCATTCACCGGGTTCTTGATCTATCACTCATGGAAAGCCGGCCTGAGCTTTGGGGGAAATACACCTATGTGCTCAATCGCCTTCAGGTTAGTTTCCCCCCCCCCCCCCCCCCCCCCCCCTCTTCTCTCTCTGAACTACTTCACACCCATCGTACATAGAAATTCAAACTTGGGCTGTGAAATTTATAGGAACAAGAACATAAATTTATCAAAATAGTAGTGATGTGTGGGTTTGGAGCTCTTCAACCATGTATTTAATCAAACATTATCAGCATAACAATTCATGCATGCACGTTTACATTAGATAGTTGACTAACATTTATAGCATATAACTACCCATGTTCTTATATGATTATTATTTTTCAATAAGGGTAGTGTAAATTTATTTGGGTTAATAGCATCAGACCCTCTACTATTGCATTTTCTCAACCCTATACTATTTTTATGTCAAATTTGCCCTTTTACTATAGTCATGTTCTCACACAAGACCTTTTGTTAAGTTTTTCGTCCAAACTACAAGAACCATGATCTAACCGAGTATTGGTCAAGATTAAATGACACTTAATATCCCCTTCAAAAATTTCCTCCAACCACCCTCCTCTACTCATCTCTCTTTCCCTACCCAAAAATTCCCAACCCCTAATCCTAAATCTAATCCCCCCAACAATCCCATATGCAGCAACAGATTTTCCCCCACCCAAAATATCATGCCGTTTTGCCTTATTCTCTTGGCAGAGCAAATCATCAACCATCTCCACAGTAGTAGTGTCATCTTCTCATCGTCGCTGTCTCCACTCTCCCTCCACTCGGCGGTGCACTGTGGCCTTCTCGTTCCTCTTAATTTTTCTTGCCAACTACAGCAAACTAACTCAAAGCGCTCGAAGCTGTTTGAGGGGAACCATAGGTTCAACATCCCCGTCGATTTTGCTAGGGGATTGATGTATCTTTACTCGTTGAGTCCGCTGGTGATTCCCCGCGATGTGTAGTCTGACAATGTTTTGTTGAACCAATGTTGCCCGAGAGTTGTCGTGGGATTTGGGGTGACTTCGAAGTTACTTGATGTTGTTCTTCGAAACAAACGCACTCTTGGTTATTTGTAGGCACTAAAGGCAGCAATGTGTTTGTTTTTGTACCTTTCTTTCTTGTACAGGGGGTTGTGGAGCCTGCATTTATGAGACAACGAACTCAGATGCAGCCATGCTTCTGCCTGCAACTCTCAGCAGCACACCAGCAGAGAATTTCGTCGGCTCAACCAGCAGCGTCAAATGGGATGCTGCCTCCTCCGGCAAAACAAGGTAGAGGTGGGAAATGCACAACGGCAGCGATGGTGCTGGACTTGATCAAAGACGTGGAGATTGCCATTTCATGCAGGAAAGGTCGATCAGGGACAGCTGCTGGGGATGTAGCTTTCCCAAAGGGTAAAGAGAACCTGGCTTCCGTGCTGAAACGGTACAAGAGGCGGCTGTCTAGCAAGCCCGCTGGGAAGTGAAAGAGCAAGTTGGATTGGTGTTGCAATATGTTAAAATTTGGTGCTGGGGTTAGTTAACTGAAGAGATGCTGATTAAGAGAAGAATGTGAATGGAGGGAGCATTTTCTTTTGCTCTGATCTCACTTGTAACGAAGGGGGGAAAAGATGATGTAAAAAGAGGATGGAAAGAACCGTCGGGTGCTGCCTTTTGTTGCTTGTCTTGCCCCCTGTATGTTGCATGCATATACATAGGATCTTTACTAATAGAAGAGCGCTTAACTCCACTTTTACTTATACTTGGGTAGGGGTAATGAATGTATAATTTTCAGGCAGCGGCGGGAAAACGAGGAGGTTACGGAAAGATGTGGTGGGTTGACTCAGTTCCAACTGCAACATTCTGATCGGGTGTAGCATAGGGCAAGCAAGTAGTAATAAATCATCGTACCATGGGGATCTAGGCTTACTCTACTTCGTTTTAAGTTTCGTTATCTATCCAATCTAGGATAGTGATTAATAAAACTAAACTAATCAACCTAAACTAACCACTAATCTAGCTATTTACAAGGTTTGGAGCTCTCTTGGATTGAATCGTCCTGGGTCGGTCCTTTGGATTGATGTTGGGTATCCTCGTCGCTCGATCAACTCAATACTCTACCGTTAGGAGATGGACTCCCTCGGGAATGATCCGGAACGACGAATCGATAAATGAGGTGTGCTCTATTCAACCTAGGGCAACCCTATATCGTAGGAGATTGATGGAATCGACTCCCTTAGGGATCACCCTGACGATAGGATGATGAGTGACCCAAAGACGCCAATAATGGTCTCTAAGCGGATTTTCTCCCTCCTAGGTCAAAAGCTCATACATGAAAATGGAAACCAAACTCATGCAATTCATGAAAACATCCATCAATTAAATAAAATCATCAATCAAACATGGAATTTGTCACATACATCAACAATGAAACAAAATCTAGACCTAGTGTTCTTAAAACCAAGAGAAGATGGTGAGTTTCTAGAGAGAGAAGAGAGAGATTACAGACAAAGCACAAGGTCTTCTTCTTCTTCTAGGCTTGATTTCTTGCTTCCAAACTTGATCAATGCCTTCAATTAAACTCTAAGATCACTCAAGAACTCATTCCCTCTCTCTAGAACTCCCCTTTGGCGTTTTGGTTCGAAACCCTAGAGAAAGAAACCAATTCCTCTCAAAAGACTAGGTCCCCTTTCTCTCTCTCCGCAACTGTCTTTTATACAGCCCGAAAGTGTCAACATAACGATTACTGTTCACAGCCGTGAACTCGGAGGCTTTACCTTGATCTCAGACAAAAAACACAGCATTTTGGGCCACTTTCCGGTCTTAGGGGTGGGAAACGGGACGAGATTGGGTACCCGTCCCGTTTGAAATGGGTACCCAGTCCCATTTGGAGACAAAACTTCATCCCAATCCCAAACCCGTACGGGTTAACGGTTACCCATTACCCGTACGAGACGGATAACGGGTACTGTCACAGCCTTACTCTCGGTCGTGCGGCCTTAGCTCTCAATTCTGTTAGAGAACTAAGCAGCCTTCTCTCAAACTCACAAGCAAGCAAAGAAGCAAGAACAAGACAAAGAAGATGGGAGAACTCTCTAGTGTGACTTGCAAGAACAAGACAAAGAAGATGAGAGAACTCTCTAGTGTGTATTACTCTAAAAAATGATGGAATGAGTTACAAGTGAGAGAGATGACTCCTTATATAAGCCTCTCCTCATACAAGGCATCAATGCCCCTCATAATGTCCCTCTACATCAATACACCCATTAAGTCCCCCCATCCAATTATGCACTCTATAAATGTCATCCATTATGTAACTCATAAGTGCACCATTAAGCCCTCATTTAGGTGGAGAATCCTAGGAGCATCTCTATACTACTAGTCTTCCATACACGCCACATGTGCAGCCGCTATGTTGTCACCTTGTTGGCGCCATGTCATCTGCCACATGTGAGAGTACTCGCGGGTAACCCGTATAATACCTAAAATGACAAAAACATAATTGTTCCACCTCAAAATAACACCACTCTCACTTACCCACATGCACATCATCGTCACTAGCTCAGTACAACTGGTAATCGTGAAGAGAGAGATGCTCAGAAATTCCAAAAGCTATGTATATTGTGGCGGATTATCCAATTAGTCAAAATTCTAAAGAGGAGCAATATGGCGTTCTGGTGGAAAGATGATTATAATTATGAATGGATTGCTGACTTATACGATGAAGGAGAATTCCTGCTGCATGCATATAAAGATTAGTATTTCATTAGCGGCTGCTGCTACTGCTACGTGAAATTCTAGGTGAACTTAACTAAGAGCTTTCTGGTTATTTTGTGTAACAAAGGTGGTTAGGGCTGGGAAAACGGTTGGCGGTTAAACCGACAACCGCACCGAAACCGCGCGGTTATTGGTTAACCGCAAACCGCATATTTGGCCTATTTTGCGGTTGCGGTTGGAGATATGGCCTGTTTTGCGGTTTGCGGTTTAACCGCAACCGAAACCGCAAATCCATATAACCGCATAGCTAACCGCGAAACCAAACCCAGCCCATAATTCACCCCCAGCCCAGCCCATAATTGACCCAAGCCCAGCCTGGACAGCAGGCAGCAGCCCAAACCCCCAAACCCGACCCGACCCTCCCCACTTCTCCCTGCCGACGCCGTCGTTTAATCGTTTTGAGTGACTTATGATTTGAACTTTGAAGAAACAAAAATCAAAACCCTTCGTTAATTGACTTAATTCTTTTCGTTTCGTCCCTTCCCAGTTCCCACCGGAAACTGAAGTATGAAAACCAAAAGTCCAAAACCCTTCGGAGCTTCGACCCTTCATCTTCCTGCTGCGCCTTTGCCATCCGGTCGCCGCTGTCCCTGGCCGTCCGGCGTTCCCCTGCGACGGTGGGTGAGCTGGCCCTGGCCCGTCCGCCTTTTCCATGATTTTTTTGCGGTTAGTTCGCGGTTAATTGTCGGTTAGAGTGCTAACTGCGGTTTCATATGGTGTTTCGGTTGTTGTGGTTTTCACAACCATAAACCGCGGTTCACCGCTAACCGCGTTCTGCGGTTTTTGGTTAACCGCTAACCGTTGCGGTCGCGGTTGGCCAATATGGGTGTTTTGCGGTTACAGTTAACCGCAAATTGCGGTGCAGTTAACCGCAACCGCACCGTTTCCCACCCCTAAAGGTGGTTACCGGCCTGACAAATGGAAATTAATAACTAGAATCTCATTTGATGTAGCCCTGCAATACCAAATATATATGTAGGCATGCAATGCAGCAGAGATATCCGTTGTGATATGGCGGATAGTACGGGTACCCATTATAGGGTTTCTTGATCCCAAATCCCATTTCGTAAAACAATTACAGATATTTGGGTACCCGTAACCCTCATAAAACGGGATGGGTATGAGTATACCAAAATACACATTTCCGGTTGCCCACCCCTACACGATTTGGGGCTTGAGTTCACGGTCTTAGCGACAGTGAATTGGTTGGACTCCAGTGAGACGGCAAACCGCTCTGGAAATTGGCCACTTCACGGTTTGGGGGTGATTATCACGGCTTTAGGATCGTGATAAATGAGTCTTTCCCTTGAAGTCTTGCTCTTCACTCCCTGGGGGTGACTTTCATGGTCTAAGGGCGTGACATTGCCTCCAGCTCGTGAACAGTGCTCAACGTCCACTTTTTGGCTCGTTTTAACCTTCGAATGGCCCGAAACTTGTCCCGGACCTTCCCACATGTACTAGGACCTGAAATGTGACAAAAGAAGCACAACCTAGTGATTCGGGTCCAATTGTACACATTTTGCCCCTCATTTCTTGATAGTTTGACTTTGCATTTCATCGTTCCTCGACATATTTCATGCTAGGTTGTACTTGTTTTGATACATTTCAGGTCTTAGCACGTGTGGAAGGGTCGAGGACAAGTTTCGAGATGATTGGAGGTCAAAAAGCACAAAAACCGAATAAAAGTCCAAAGGTGTGACAATTGTCCTGTGACAGTGAAGCGCAGGCGTCCAGGAACCAGTCGTAGTTTACGGTCAGAGCTCCGAGTTCACGGTCGCCAGGACCGTGAGCTGGAACCACAAAACGTGAACAGAGAAGCATTCAGAAGGATTACGGAGGTTACTGACAACAAGGCAGTTCACGGTCGCTAAGACCGTGAACTGTAAGCACAAACTGTGAACTCCGGGAGTGAAGCGGTGCGTTTTGGCCCACGACACTGAGTTCACAGACGCGTTTAGGTCTTCACGGCCGTGAACTGGAAGCCCGTGAACTAGGCGCGATCTCAGTATAAATGGAGAGCTGAAAGGAAGAATAAGGGAGAGCTTTAGGTAGGGTTTTAGTTTTCATAATAAAGAGAGTTTCTAGTGAGAGATTAGGGTTTCCCCTTCCCATTCTAGAGAGAGAAAGTGACACTCAAGGAGGAAGAAGGAGATTGGGCTCAATTCAAGCTAGGGGATTGAAGATTTCTTCTTCTCAAGTGAGAATCAAGCAACAAGGGAGGAAGATTTCCACCTCTCCATGGTTCTTTCTCTCCTTTTTGTTGTTTTCCTTTGCGAAGCTATGGATTAGCCTACCTATTCACTTGGGTGTTGTAAACCCTAGCTACAATTATGTGAATGCTTGTATGAATTGAATGATTTGTGTGTGTGGTTGTGTTTTAATGTGAATGTGGAGGTATTATTCATGAATGATTGTGTTGTGTGAAAGCCTATCAATCTATTGTCATTCTAACCTAGCTTAGAGAGGAAACCTCCTTAGGTTAAGAGGCTCCATTGGATATGGGTGTTCTTGGGCATTTCATGCCTCCTAGGCTAGTTTAGAGAGGAAACCTCCTTCATCCAAAGAGGCTCAATTTGAGCTGGGTTTCCTTGGGCATTCAATGCCTCCTAAGCTAGTTTAGAGAGAACCCTCCTTAACCTAATAGGCTCTATTAGGTATGGTAGAGACAGGTTTCCTTGGGCATTTTATGCCTCCTATTCTAGGTTAGTTAATGGGCAAACCTCCTATTTCGCATTAGCACTTAGGGTTTGGTTGTGGGTGGCCGTCCGAACTCCAATTAGAGGGTGAAGTCTAACCATTCCTTAGTCGATAGGTTGAGAGGGTCACATTAGTGGCTTGGATCGTATCCCATTCCTCAACCTAGAGTCGAAGAGGGTAGCTTCGACTGCTTGTTAGACTTCCCTTCGGTTTATGAGCCCCTAACCACACACGGTCGTTCGATTCTTCAAGTCTTAATTGTTAGTTAGGGGGAAGCAACACCCGAGTGAGGTCCTCTCATATAGAATTCCCCTCGATTTACTTTACTTGCTTGTTTTTGTCATAGTTTTAAACCCAAAACCGTTTTGCTAGATAACAACTTAAGCGATTGAAGTAGGTTAAATGGACCAGCCCGGGTTTGACAATTAAATACATGCCCTATACTGCACCCGGCTAGATTTTCAAAACTTGGGCTCTAGTCGGGATTAGTTCGC